TCCTTCCTTCAAAACTCAGCTCAAGCACCACATTCTACAGGAACCTTTTCCTGATCCCGGCAGCTGCTACTACAATTCCTCTGATTGCCTTGTATTTATTATTCATTTATATGTACATCCAGTTTCCTCCACAGTTCCTAAACTAGAGATCAGTCAACAAGTATTTATTAAGCAAAAGACTTGAGACAATAGGCTATCACAACAGTCCAAGTGAAAGTAACAAAGTGCCTGAACTACATATGTGAAAATATAGGAACACGACATGTGAAATCTGGCTTTACAAAGCAGTTAATTTAGAGATGACTCACCACAGAACTCTGTTAAATACCAGATACATACTGGCTAAGTGACCATAGTCATTTAAACTTCTTGAAGCCGTAGGCAAGTCCCAAATTCCAAAGGTGTCAGACTGCATTAAAAGAAAGATCTCTCACCCAAGTTTTCCTCTGTCAATGAAATCACAGGTCCAGTCCCTATCCTATTAAATGCTTGATGTTTTAGTGTAAAGCTTTACCTTTGGATTATGAGAATTGTAAATTGTAATATCTATATTTCTCTATAATAAATGTCAGAATACTATAAAGTATTTTACTTCCATTCCAAAAAACAAATCTTTAAGTATATAACTCAAGATCCCTACCAGTGAGTGTCTACATCAACCAGCAAGCTGAAAATATCCACTACTCTCAAAGTAATCAATCATTTCTCTACTGACTTCTCAGGAATGAAATGCCTATCTATCGTGCCAATTCCACTCCTAAGTCTCCCTCCCCAACTAACATTTGGGGAAAAGGGAAGAAGAGGAGCAAAATGTTTTCTTCTTCCAAGAGCAGGAGTGGGAGAATGGATTCACCCCTCTAAATGGTGTTCCATTTTTCTAATCACCGAGGATCAAAATTTCATCTTTTCCCCCCTCTCAGCAATCTCCCATACCTGACAGACTCTTCCTTTGAAGAAAAAAAAAAAATCACTAAAACCATTCCTTTCTACTCCTACTAGCACCACTAAAATTTAGGTCACAACTAAATGCCTCACTTCTCATGCAGATTACTTGCTACAGCCTCTAAACCTATCTCCTTGTCTCTTCTCAATCTTTTCCAATCCATTTTGGGGTCCAAAACTCTCTTCCCAAAAAATTACACTGATTGCATACCTAATCTTTCCAGCAACATTCAATGGATCCCAACTGTCTATACAGCAAAATTAAAACTTCATTTTTATATTCTAGGCCATTATTTTAGGCCTCAAGAAGCTTTCCACTTTCAGCCTTTTACTATTACTGCTAAACAGTTGGTTACTGTCCCTAGGATGAAACTGTTCTCCTGGATTCATACTTCTTCTCATACTGTTCATATCAGCTCCCTAAAAAGGCCTTACTTTCAACTTCCTAAAACCTGAAATTTCAATCTATTTCAAATCTCATTTCCTTATGAGACCTCCTCCAAACACTCCAGCAAAATATATTTCTCAACAGAACAAAAGATACAGTAAAACACAGCAACTATAGCTACATGAATGAAGACAACATTTGAAGGCAACAAAATTCAGGGTTAATACAACAAATAAATGTTAGTACTAAATTTATTAAAGTACATATCCTAATCCTACATTTCTTTTAATGAGCTACAAAAGCATAAGGATTCACATAGTCAGATTCACTTTCTTCTACTGTTTCACTGAATTATTTTCCTAGAATGTCTTTTGTGGTATGTTTGTTGAGTTTATTTGGGTTTACTTATCACAACAATATTCAATAAATAAAAGGATCACTCACTCCTAGTAACTCTTATAATTAAAAATGCCAGTGCCAGGCACACAGCAAGTATTTAATAAATGTCTGTTGACTTACAATAATTATTACTTGAGGCACTTAACCCTCCATTTGACGCTTGGGTTCAGGACATACCCTACATTTCTTTTATCTCTCCCTCTTACCTGCTAGTACTTAATATATTGTAGGTACTCAACAATTCTTTTTTTGGGGGGGGCGGCTCTAGGCAATTGGGGTTATGTGACTTGCCCAGGGTCACACAGCTAGTAAGTGTCAAGTGTCTGGTCTAAGACCGGATTCGAACTCAGCTCCTCCCGACTCCAGGGCCGGTGCTCTATCCACTGTGCCACCTAGCTGCCCCTCAACAATTCTTAAAAGCATAATTTAACCCTAACCCTAATCCTAAGCTGCAAATAAGGACATTTTAAAAAACATTTCTTCCTCCAATATTCAATGCAGTGATGTTTCTTAAATCCACCTGAGTTTAAGACAAATGAAAGATACATTTACTGAAATTTTCTCTGGCCACCCACAATGCTTGATTTCTTATATAGTAGAGGGGGCAGAGAGAGTGATTAAATACAGTCACCTAATTTATGTATAAATACTGTGAGGTACAAAGATATAAATAAAAATTAATACAGGCTCCTGACACAAAGCAGATAGTCCAGTGTATGAATATTTACCTCCAGAGAAAAGAACTATGTTCTCCCACCTTAGGAAAGATATTTTTGGACATAGGCTTTTAAAGAATCAATAGAATCACAGACCCCACAATTTCCTTCTCTAATGGCAGTTTACCACAAACTCTGAAGCTCTACAACAGTGTTACTGCACTTCAAGTTATGATTTTCACTGGATCTTTTCTATAATTATTTCAGTTTACAGTAAATCTAAATTTTTAACTTCGAACTGACAATAATCAACCAATAAATGCTCTACAGATGTCCTGCTCAGACTACTCATAAGACAATGTGTAAGTCTAGAATAGAACCAAACAAGAGATCAAACTACCATTGAATAAATTAGAAAATGGAATAATTACTAGGAATTTAGAAAATAGACAACATTAGAGTTACTAAAAGAATCACAAATATTGAAATGCATAAATACCGTAGAGGTTCATAACAGAACAACTGAAAACACAACATGAAGAAATAAACCTCACTTAAAAATCAAGATTGAAAATTTTTAAAACAGAAACAAAGTGGGCAAAAATGTAGCCAGGTGGTCAGGCCAAGAATTCTGTAGAGAAACAAGGTCTCAAGGAGACAAAGCACATGTCAGTCCTTGACAAATATAAAGCAAGACTGTAACAAAATACCCAGGTATCAATTAGAACACAGTAGAGCTAAAGGAAGCTCTTTGGCTGGTTCAAAGATCTAGGACATCACAAATCATGGGCTATTTGCTCAGAAGTTCTGGGCTGCTGATCATTTAGGTTCAGGTACATTTTGTCCTATCACAAAAATAACAGATTTACAAAACTGTGTTCCAAAGTCATGGAACTCCAATTCTCATTTTTCTATGGATCCCCTACGCAAAAAAATGTTGCAGAACTCCAAACAAAAATGAAAAACCTTACACTGGGCAAATAACACAGAATGTCAAGTTTCAACTATAAAATGGACCAATCTGGGCTTCTAAAAAAGTTGAAGATTAGTCTTATTCATCTTACTACAAAAACTTACAGAATATAAAAAGGAAAAAAAGTCTTCATCAATAATCCTCACTCTATTAGAAACAACTAGTTAGAAAAAAAAAGTGGGGGGAAAAAAAGGAATGTGTACATAGAAAATGAATAGAGAATCATACATAGTTGGATTAATCAAAAAGCCAAACAAAAAAGATAACAAAGAAAAAGACCTGAGGTTGAAATAATGAACCCAATTATTAAGAAAGCAATATGAAAAGTTTGTCATAATAACATTTTAAAGACACTTGTATTAGGATACTAAATATAGTATTAAAAAGAAAAAACAAGTTCTTAAGAGTGTGACAGAAATAATGCATCCTTCAATAAAGTGAGGTTATTCAAAAAGGCATGGCTAGGTTGTGACCTACAACCAACCAGACAGAAAATATATCACCAAGATAATTGATCTGCTAGGAGTGAAGAAATTAAAACTAAAATTTGGTTGACAAATACATGAATGAACTTTTAAAAACTCAAAAGGCCACCACTTTTAGAATGAACAATAGTTCAAAGAAAAAATTAAAGAGCACTGGCATCAAAACAAAGCAATTGGAAATCACCTAATATTAATTGATAACTTAACTTCCATCCCTGGAACATTTCCTATAGTGAAGGTCTGAACATATCACTGCCTGTTCCCCTTTCAATAAATTCCAGTGGCACCTTATCACCCTCCAGGATCAAACATAAAATCCTTTATTTGGTTTTTCAAGCCCTTCCCAATCTGGCCCCTTCCTACCTTTTCAATCTTCTTATACTTTACTCCTCTCCACGTACTCTACAATTCAGGGATGCTGGCCTCCTTGCTATTCCTTCCACAAGACACTCCATCTCCCAATGGCAAGTGTTCTCACTAGTTTGTCCTCCTAGGTCGGAACCTCCCCTCCTCATCTCTCCCTCCTGGCTTCCCTTCAAGTTTCAGCTACAGTCTCATCTTCTACAAAAAGCCTTTCCCAATTCTTCTTAATAAAAGTGCCTCTCCTCTGAGGTTATGTCCAAGTTACCTTGTATATATCCTGTTTATACTTATCTGTTTGCATGCTGTCTCCCTCATTAAGCCATGTGCACCCTGAGAGCCAGGAATTGAGTTTCATTTTATTTGCCTTTCTTTATATCCCCAACATTCAGCACAAAGCCTGACAAATATAGTAGGTGCTTAATAAATGCTAGATGATTGTCTGACTTAGAATCATTACCTGCAATGAAGGTTTGGCTATGTCACAGAAACACATCCTAAAACAACCCAACTTGTACAAACTTCAAGTTCAGGTTATAATTATTCCCACCAACAATTACATTAAGTTTAGGGAGCTTTATGAACTCCCCACCACCCACTGTCACGTAGAAAATGATAGGAAAACAGTTCAATGTCAATTGTGGTTAACAAAAGACTTTGGGACAAGAGTCTCTCCTAATGTAATCTTTAATATCAGACCTTTGCTCTAAATTTTACTGGTTAGACAACCCTAGTTGCTGTTTAATATGCTATTTCAAACCCAATGTAACAGTTCATTAGTAGCAATATTTACATACCTTATGTAAACAAGTGTCCACAACCCAATTGCACACTTTTTCCAGGTCATCAGATACCTCAAGCCTAGATTTAACAAATTCACAGAGCTCCTCATTGCTCATAACATCCCAGATCCCATCACAAGCCAAGATGATAAATTCATCCTCTTCTGCTCTTAAAATTTCATAAACCTCAGGCTCTGGAGAAACAAGTTGTTCCGTAGGGCCCTTGCCATCCACACATTTGTAATCATAATCCCCCAGAGCTCGAGAAACTGCTAATGAACCATTTACACGCTGTATCATTACGCTGCCTCCTGCATTTTGGATTCGCTCCTTCTCCCTTGGATTGCAAGGTTTGTGATCCTGGGTTGAAAAGCAGACTTGTCCATTCCTAAAAAGGACAGCACGTGAATCTCCACAGTTGATAAAGTAGGTATGTTCAGGTGAAATCATAACGCCCACTGCAGTTGAGCCACTCCTGTCCATCCCATTTCTGAGATCTGAAAAGTTACGCATGTATTCATCAATTTTCAAGAAGCCAGTTCTGATTCCACTCTTAACATTTTCCACTGAAGGTTCAAGAGCAGATCCAGGTTTTTCTGCTGCCCTAAAATCTTCATTATTAGTAATATGTTCTAATAAGTGTGTTGAGCAATAATTCGCCACTCGAGATCCAGCATGACCATCATAAACAGCAAAAAATGACCAGTTTTCCAAGCCATGAGGAATACCTACAACTGCTGTATGAGCATCTTCCATTTCTACTCTCCATCCTTGCATGCTGCTTAGGCCATAACGCAAACCATTCCCAGCACCGTGAGCATTGTGTTTCTCAGTTTTGGGTTTGTCCAAAAATGCACCCATGTTTAGTACTGAATCTGGAAAAAAAAAAAAGGATAGATGTTTCAATTTAAAAAGAAAAATATATATCTATATAAAATGATTCAAATTGTCAAAAGCTAAGACACTAATACTATCCAGGTTTATTATACATTAATAGATGTGACTCTGACTCAAAAGTATTTTTAATGAAATAAACATTTACTAAAGTGTACCAGCATGTGTATATGTACATACGTATATAATATACATATGTGTATACATATGTATATACACATACACACGGAAGAGACTCTTGAAATCTCAGCTCTTGCAGTATTATTTTAAAACCACTAATATGGGGTTGGGGAGATAAAGGGCATCAAATAAAAATTTGAGTAAAAACTAAATTTACTCTAAGGCACTAATTTTAATCAGTTTTTCAAAACTGATTGGAAGCTTTTTAAAATGTCAAATTATTCTCTTATAAAATAACTGAGGATATGTGCTTGTCTTATACTATAAACCAAGAAATACGGCATCAAGATTTTGTTTCTGACAGGGTAAATTTCAGAGATGAAGGCAAATATAAGGGAGAGCCTGCAGGAAGAATGCTACTCCAGAAAGTGAGAATATGTTCTGTGTTTTATGTATCCTAACTAATAACATATTGATTAGCATTCACTCAAAATCACAAGTCAAAACACTAAAACAAATTGTTGAATGGGAAGAAAGAAATTTAGTCAAAATCCTAATAAACACTATATCTAAATACTGAACTTTGTTCTGAAATTTCTCTCTCAAACATGGATGCATGTTCCCAAAAATGGTTATATAATCTACTTGCTTAGTCACTTTCAATCAGAGCATTGTCACATCTACGTTTTAACAGGCTTAGAATACCTATGGCTCTTTGACTGGTATGGAAAGAACATTTAGAAATCTTAGAACAGTTCTTATAATAGATCTTACAGTTGCTACATTGAAAAACACTAACTACTTTACATAATTATTTAATCGAATTAAATCATGATTAGAAAAAAATAATCAAAGAGGAGGTACAGATAATTTTTAAATAAATGCATAAGTTATAAGGATAAAGGTAAGGTCTAGGACCTGTGATTTCCTAGATGGAAAAATTTGCTCTACTAATGCAAGTTGGTACCATCTCTGAAATTTATACTCTTAGGATGCTGTGTAGAGCAATGAGAAGTGAAGGGACTTGTTCATGACACAGCCAGTATGAGAGGTGAAGTTTATATCTTCATGCTTTGAAGCCAATGCACTATATACCATGTTACCTCTCATTTATTTTAAGCAATCACTTTTTAAATATTCAAATCTACTGATAACCAGAGAAATGAAAATTAGAACAATTTAAAGGTGCTACTTCACAGTCTTCAAAAACGGCAAAAACCAAAAATATGTAAAAGTCTTAAATAACTCAATTCAGCCAGGTTGCAGAAAAATAGGTTGAAAAATTTCACCGTTAGAATCCTTAGAAGGGCAATCTTGTAACACATAATTAAAAGTCACAAAAATAATCATGAATATAATTCTAAAGGCACTAACACATTGGAGACTTTAAACCAAAAGTCTAGTTTCTGAAAAAAGAGAGGTAAATTCTGGGGGTGATTTTTGGTCCAGGTCTATCATTTCACCTGTATAATGAACTCCCAGCAAAGAAAAGCTCTTCCAACGTGTATTAGCAACTGCTCTAAAACCTACAGTTTTAAGCAACTTGCCCAGTGTCACATAGTCAAGATATGCTTTTTAAAAGTAACTTTATGAGGCAGCTAGATGGCATACTGAATAGAGCACTGGCCCTGGATTCAGGAGGATCTGAGTTCAAATCTGGCCTCAGACACATAACACTTACTAGCTGTGTGACCCTCGGTAAGTTACTTAACTCCAAATGCCTCACCAAAAAATAAAAAATAAAATAAAAGTAATTTTACTACAGAAAATCTTAAGGGTTATCCAAAAGCTAAAACTGAAATTTTATTTCACTGCAAATGAATGAAATAAGAAACAAACATATGAAACATTAAGTGTATAATGGAAACATTAATCCCACCATTTGCAAATAATTAAAAGATTTCAAAGCAGAATATACAGGAAAAGAAAAAATTTCTACTTATTCTATTTTCTCCTCTATTGATTCAGTTCTTTGCAAGTATAAAAACACTACTAATAGTAAAACTTTGAGAACAAGTCAGTACAATTTAACAGAAAACTCAGAAGTTATATTACTTGTTCAAGACAGGTTGTGGACATTTGGAGAGAGAAGTAATGACCACTGAATCAGCATGTGTTCATTAAAAAAATAATTATGCCAGATGAACCTAATTTCCTTCTCAGATGAGGCTATTATATAGGTACACTATATAGGCATGGTTCAAATGTGCACTGTATCTCTGGATCACCTACAACAGAAGTATCAGATGCGGTCCACAACACTCCTGAGCGCAGACCAAACCAGATTAAAATGTAAATGGAAAATATTTAACAAAATAATTTAAAATGTAATAAAACATTAATTTCAAAATTAAGTCAATAAATGGCCCAAAAGGATAATTATGTCTGGTTCATGTCCCCCATTTCTATTTCAGCTTAACACCCAATGACTTTCATCAATAAGGTCATAAGACTCGGTGACAAATTAAAGTAATAGCAAATCATGGGAATGCCTTAGACATCTTATCACTATCATCATGATAATTATTATCATCATGATGCTTGGATTTCACCAACTCACCCCAACAAAGTTTATTTAGTCATCATAGGCAAGACAGAGGGATTTTAACTTAAGAAAGCTTACATAACTTAAGTAAACTCAGAACTGGTTAAACAACTAACAACAAGAAGTACTGATTGATGAATTGATGTCAACTTAAGGGGAATATGCTAGTAGAATAACAGTGATAACATGCTTATTAAATTTCATACAAAGCTGGAAGGGATTGCTGGTGTTTTACATGATAGCATTAGGATCCAAAAAGACCAATAGATTAGAATGGGCTGAATCTGAAAAGACATCTCTTTCCCATTAGATTTCAAGTACTACAGCTGAATTGGAAAAAAAACTTTTAGGAAAAAAAAAACAAAAAAAAACTTTTGGAAAGTAGCTAGAGAACAAGTTTACATAAAAAAGATTTGGAAGATTTATTAAGATAGCAGTCATAAAAGGTAATGGGATCTTAAGCTGCATTAATAGAAGCAACGTGTAGAATAAGAGAAGTGTTCATCTCAAAATACTCTGCTCTCCACTCTTGCCTTTTTGTTACATCACCATTGTTCTCTAGATAAACATCAATATGGATTACTTCCACAATCCACTTCCACTCCTCCACACCAGCTGCTGCTGAAGCTAAATAAGTCTCACAACTGTGCTGATTGAGTACATTACAAATGCATTTTATACAGCTTCAATAGGGCCCTCACTATCCCAAAGCAATGGGGACCTTTTTATTCTTCCCTGACTCCCTAGCTCACTCTCCAAAAAAGCTATTCAAAACCTTTTCTTACTTCATCAAGCCAACTGCACATTTCAAACTGGATGTAGCAAAGACATCTCAAACTCATTCCGCTTAAAGTCTCTCCTCTTTCAAACTTCCATATTTCTATGCAAGGTACCACCATCCTCCCAGTGTCAAAGGTTCATAAGCTTGCCATTATCTCTTTTCCTCTCCCTCCCTCATCCCAGAAAGTCAATCAGTTGCCAAATCTTTCTATTTCCTTTATCTTGCTTCATAACAAGTCTCACTCACATCTGCCTCTTCTCTCCACTTAATAGAGATACCACATAAATTCAGGTTCTCATCAACTTTCACCTAAATCGTTCAAACACCCTCCTGCTTGTTCTCCCTACCTCAAATCTATAGTCCATTCTATACTCTGCTAACAAATTATTCTCCTTAAGTGAATATCTGACCATATCACTCCCCTACTCAACCAACTCTAGTAGTTTCCCATTGCCTCTAGGATAAAATATAAATTCCTCTATTTAGCTTTTAAAACCCTACACAATCTGGCAGAAACATCTTTCCAACTTTATTGAATATTACTGTCTCTCTGAACTCTGCAACCCAGTCAAACTGGCCTCTCAATTTTTCTCACAATGACACTATTTCACATTCACAAGACACTATCTCTCCAATGTGCTTGTACTCACTGGCTATACTTCAAACCTGGAATGTAAGTTCTTTACCTCCACCTCACAGAGCACTACTCTTCCTTTAAGATGTAGCTCAGGCATCATCTTCAGCACGAAGCTTTTCAAGATTTCCCCTGTACCCTACTACGAATGCTCTCCCTCCTAAACTACCTTGTATTTAACTATTATGTATGCAAATATTTGTATTTATAAACTTTACATTTATACTATATAGGTTTTACATGTACTTGCCTCCCCCATCAGAACATAAGCTTATAGTGTGTAGAGAATGTTTTATTTTTAGGACTTATATCCCTCACACCTTAGCATAGTGCCAGGCACATAGTAGACACTTAATACTTGTTAATTGATTGAGAAGGGATTGAAATAAGGCTATTGGGCTTTTTTCCCTGATGTTATATCTTTCAGTGAGTCATGCATAATCCTGATGTATGGAAAACACTGAGAGAACCTTTAAGATGGCATTTTTCCTCAAATGACTTTTTTATAGTTTGTTAACTATATATGTTAACTAATGTATATAAGTATGGTAGGTTTTCCACATCTTTCAATCAATTGTGTGATGTAAATATATGAGTTACTATGGTATACAGCTTGCATAATATTCCTTATTAACATCAAGAATGCCTCTGGTGCATGTATATTCATAAAAAAATATAAACACGGAAGTATGCATTTAATATTCCCTTGCCTTTTAAAAAAAACACTATTAATACAGTCCAAGATTTTCTATTCCTTTGGTATCTTCCCCTCCTTTAGATCCTTGTGAATCATTTTCTTAACACCTTCACAATTGACTGCCATTAGCAAAACCACCTCTATACACATTTGGTCTAATCCAACTGATTTTCCCACCTTTCTTTTCTTTATTGCCATGCTTAT